GAGGACTTGAGCACATGATGTACAAGGAGATGCTGAGAGAACTTGCTGTTTTAAGAGGAGAAGACTTAGAAGGGGGAACTTCTTCACCTATTTAGTCGAAGAATATAGAGAATACAGGGACAGACTGCTCTTACAGCTGTGTGCCAAGAGGGCAAAGACCAGTGACACAAGCACAAAGATAAATTCTTATTAAATATTAGGAAAAGAATTCGTAATGGCATAGTTGAACTTTGAAAGAGTTTGTCCAGAGACATTATGGATATCAGTCCTTGGAGGTATGTAGAACTTTACCAGCCAAGACCTTAAGGAGCTTGCTCTTAAGATTGTCCTCGCTTTTTCTAGAGGTCCTTTCCAACCTATATACTCTTTTAGTCTAAGAATTGCCAGCTACTTATATTTCTCACGCGATACATGAATAATGTCTCCAAAAGAGATGATTTAGCAACTACAAACACATGGTGACTATGTTGTTGAACATCGTTTTAAACTACTCATTCATTTTAACTGCCTCTGTAAAGGTCCGGTCTATTGAATATCTTTATTTAGATAGTTTGTATTTGGTTCTAAGAATATATGTTAACACCTCCAGTTTAGAGGTGTTATTAACAGGTGAATCTTAAATATAAAAGTGCTAAGAGTGTTCAAATTACCTCTGCAAAAAGATGCTATCCTTAAGAAAAATAAAAGGCATAGTGTTATGTATCAGAAAGGAACTGTGGTGTTGAGATAACTTTTCTTTGCTTGGTACTTTCAGACACCAAAAAAAACAGCATCTTGCATAGTGGTTACAAATTTACATTAGAATAGCAATGGTGATGTGAGAATCCTTAAATTCTCACCACACAGAGGACAGTCATTAACTTTTGGATCCAGACTGCTCAAACTAAAATGCTGGAGCCTACTTCAGTCAAATATGCATGGGCTAGTAATAATAATGTTGCTAAAACACAGTGTATTTATATGGGTTGTGAATATTACACATCTGGTTGGTGTCAGTGTGAAAGCTGATTATGCAATTGACATCTTAAACACTCTGCATTGCCTTTCTAGGTGCATAAATTGGTATTAACAGTGTTATCTAACATTTTAAGAGTTTTTTAAACAATACCACTTTAGGCATCTACCCCTCTAAGTCCTCGGCAAAAAATTAGAAATATTAATAAAAGCATTAATGTTTAACAAAAAAATCTATGTAGAACTCTGGAAGAACAACTCTGCTTTTAGAAATCAGTGTGAAAGGAGATTAAGTGCTAACGTGGTGCTGTTGAAAGACCTGTGAATGTTGCAGACTAGTATGTTAAGAGAAAGAAAATACTCTGAAACATATTTCACAATTTGCTGATCCACAAGTAGAGTTTTTACTTCATTCTAAGTATCACTGTTCTACAAACAATATGGAAATAGCTGTGGCTTTTAAGTTTTAGTTTGGTGTTCCTTTCTCCTAACAGCAAACTAGAAGCTAAATATCATTGGTAAGCAAGAGGAAGAGATATATTATGTTGGTGACTTTCTTTATTTTTTATTTTTGATGAGATAGTTTTGGGGTGTGTCAGTAAGTAGTGACAGGCTTAACAATGTATCATAAACAACTGAAAGCGTTAGAAGTGAAGAACATACTGAGAAAATGATCATAAAGTAAATCTGCTTTTTTCAAGTGAAGGGTTTGAATTTGCGTTTTGGATCTGCTAAATTATTTTTTATTTTCCTTTATTGATATGGCAATAGTAATAATAACTCTGTCACTAGTGTTTCAGATTTATTCCATGCAGAAGGAATACAAATGATTGTGTTTTATTACTGAGTTGAAACTCTCCATTGGATTTTTGAGGGACAATGGCCTGATCTAATTACTGCAGATTGTGTTAGGATGTTTTAAGTCATTCTGAAAAAGTGTCTTAACATAACTGCATGTGTATTTATTTTCAAAGCTAGTTTGAAAATAAGGATCTCTTCGATGTCTTAGATACAGGCCTCTGGGTAGGAACAAATATCCGCCTTTTCAGCACAACTGAAAATCCAGAAGAAAGTGTAAAATTTAATACCCAAGATGTGGCTGCTTGTAGTCTAACCGGTGTTTTTTGACTACCCACAGGTCTTATTCCTACTACATTGAGGTGTCCATGGATGAGTTGGATTGGATTCGGGTTATCGATCACTCTAAATACCTTTGTCGGTCCTGGCAGAACCTGTATTTTCCTGCCCGTGTCTGCAGGTTAGTTCATCAATGTAATGTTGCCTGGCTATCATTAAATAATGTAGACACCAGAGTAAGTTGCTGGATTTTGCTACTGCATTATGTATTTCTGATAATGTATGATATACACAGCTGTAATCAGCTATCTTAAAAAAAAAAAAAGTCTATCTTGGTAGATGCTTTTGGAATATAAATATAGGTGATAAATTGCAGGCATCGTGTTTTAAAAACTCCGGTGCTTCCATCTCGAACTATGTATCTCCTTTCTTTTTTCTTTTTCTTTCTGTCTTTTCCTTTCTTTTTTCATTTCCTTCTTTTTCTTTCTTTCTTTCTTCTTTCTTTCTTCTTCTGTCTTTGAGTCATACTCACTTTTCCTCTGGCACTGCTGAAATGTTTAAAATGTGTTTACATGCTTGCTATGAAACTTGGAAATGTATTTTTATGTATTTTATATATTTTCTGCTGTTGCATTGAAAGAGTTTTAAACAGTTGTGAAAGAGAGAAAGGGCAGAGTTAGGACTAAGGAGGTTTGAGCAATGCTTTGTGTAAACCAGAGCAGATAGATGGATTTAATGATTATTAAAGTGATGATATCTTTTTACTGAAGGTGCTGGTAATTCTGGAAGAAGCTTCTGATCAGATAGAAGCAGTCTTATCCAAGAGCAGAATCAAGCTCTTCAATAGAGAGGCCACAGTCTTTAGATTCCAAAGAATCAACATGAAGTTTGGGGTCATAGACCCAAAGAGGAAATGCCCAGTATTGTAATAATTATTCTGTAGACACAAACTTTTTAATCAACAGCAACACTTGGAATCCCCATGGAGGGGAAGTGCTTTCTTTTCCCCAAAGAATGTCCTCTGTCTGTGATCTTTACTGCTTTGCAACATGGGATTGCTGGCAAACAGTTGTAGTCTAT